GCCTTGTTTCTCTTACTAAAACTTACAGAGCATTGATTGATGTTGGTGTCTAGAGTGTAAGGGGCTCTGTTTGGTGGTGAATATGAGTTAAATTAAAGAAGCGTAGGTACTCTTAACTTGGTAATCAAAGTCATATCTGCAACTGCATTTGGTCATCTTGGTGATTCAGTTGTACTCCAGTGGTCCCTACCTTCAGGGTATTCTCTGTACTTTCATTACACTCCCTGCACTCTTCGGACTTTCGGGAGTGTAAGTATACAAATGTCGGAATACGTTATTTCATTCCCAATTCATTTGATACGTGAAATGGCTTATGTTGAATCAACACACGTTTTTTGTGAGTATAATGTAGTGAAATTTCAAAATAAGACTCAAACAGTGTCACACTTGTAATATTTTTTTATTTTGTTCTTCACGATTGTTTTTTACTTGTTTTAGAGGAGTGAGAAGAGAAAGAAAAATTACTGTAGTTTTGCAGATGACTAAATACAGCTGGTTTTTTCCAATTTAGAAATAATCTATAATCTCAAAGGAAATATATTTCGCTCTGTCGCGACGTTTCACATTGAATTTAAAATCCAAAGCATGTCGATAGATTCTTCTATCAATGATAGTGAACAGGTATTGGCTGCGGCACTTTCAGCAATATTGGGTAAGGAAATTCTACCTGAGTCGAATATACCAAAACAATCACAACGGCATATAAAGAAAGTTTCCTTATTTGATCAACATCTAACGTGTTTTGTCTATGGAAAAGTTGGCCGAGACGATAGAATAACTAGCAATCAATCATTTATGACATTATACATTACAATTCTAGCAACAAAAACTACGTTTCCTTGTGTAATTGAACGTGATGCAAGTGTCGATAAATTAAAACAAATAATTTATGAGAAAGAAGGCATATTACGTAATAAACAAAATTTAATACATTGTGGACAAGAAATTGATGAAGGTCATCTATTGACTGAATATGACATCAAAGATTCCTCTGAAATAAGTGTCGTACGTTTGAGAGCCATAAATTCAAATGATTTTTTAGTCTTAGATAAAGACTCATGGGATCAGATGTACGATTATGATTTTACTAACATTAACGATCACGGGATACATTTTACTCGTGGTAGTGTTGAGTATCGTCGACCATGCGGGTGGAAACGGTATGCAATTAAAGTGACTGGCAAATATGAAGATGAAGTTTGGCTTGGCTCGAACAATAGCCGGAATGAATGGCCAGTATCCTATCATGGAACAAAACATGACGCAGTAAATTCGATTGCACAGAAAGGTTTTGATCTAACAAAACATGAGCGTTTTGCTCATGGCCGTGGCATTTATTCAACGCCAGACGTCAATATAGCAAAAGTCTTCGCTAAGTCTTTTACTATAAATGCACAAGAACATCTCGTTATTCTTCAGAACCGCGTCAATCCAAAAAATTTAATCAAATTATATCACGATGAAACTGGAAATGGTGAATACTGGTTATCATCCAATGCTGCTGATATTAGACCATATGGAGTGTGTATTATGAAGAAACCGTGATATACAGTACATTCATTCACATTTCAGTATTAAATTTGTGTTTGTACCTTAATTTACTATTTGATACAAGAAGAGTGAAATAAAAATCTTTTTTGTATTGTTATCGGAAAACGTCAGAATGTTAATAATCATGTAAACTATTTTCTGTAATTTAGAATTTCATGAATTATCTTGTATCAAGTCTCAGTTCCTCTATCATAGACGCAAACTTTTATAAATTAAATCGCACACAATTATACAATTATAACGTATGAAAAAATGACAACTGAATCACCAAGATGACCAAATGCAGTTGCAGATATGACTTTGATTACCAAGTTAAGTAGTACCTACGCTTCTTTAATTTAACTCATATTCACCACCAAACAGAGCCCCTTACACTCTAGACACCAACATCAATCAATGCTCTGTAAGTTTTAGTAAGAGAAACAAGGCGTTGCCTTTGGCGGTTATAATGTTCCCTTGATAAATATTTTATGATTACCTTTCAGCTGTTCAGTTTAAATGTGTGAAGCATAAACTGACCTATCCAATCAGATTTAACAGTCTTTATGTGTGATGAATATGATTCCGACTGAAAGAGGATTGGATACTCTTTGTTTAGTGGAGAAGCGTTCGGCACCGACTATATATGTATGATGTTCTTAATAGTTCTTGTACTCTAACTAACACATTTCATTTGGCACTGAAAAAAAAATTTTCGTTTGGTTGCTCATAGAGTAACAAACTTCGTTTTGCTGTTCTTGAGAAGTTTCACACGATTGAGCAATAACAAACAGTATAATTGGAAAAAATTTAGCTGATGAAAAGTGTTATTATAACTGAATGAGAGATTGAGGCTCAATGTGTCAGCAGACAAAGAAAAGAAAAGAATAATGAATAGTATTATGATAATGATCAGTTGCCTTCTTCTTATAATTACTATTTCCTTCAACACGAATGCAAAAGACGTGCACGTTTAACAGAATCTAGGTTTTTATTAACCTGTTCAATCACTGATTTTGTTTAATAGACGTATCATATATTTGTCTTGAAGACAACAATTTATTCCCCACACATTATTCAACTATTTCCTACAAATTGTCTTTCTATGCGCGCTAATTAGGTTTATGTTAGAATACATTTGACTGAGATAAATGACGGTTGAAAAACTCAGAGGAAGATTCAGTTTGAACAAAGTTGATTTTGTTCAGATTCAATTATATGACTCAAATGAAAGAATGAGTTTGAATCAAAGATAAGGAGCAGATGTATCCACAGGGCGGGATAGTTCTGTTCTGTCGTGCTGCCCTGTTCCGTCCTAATACAGGACAGAACGAAAATTTTTTTGTTAGCTCCTTTCTTTAAGTTAGGTAGAGATCTGAATGTCCATTGTCAGCTCAAAACCTACAGAAATAAGAAGCAAAAAATTAATTTAGAGCTTTCCTGGTAAATTCTATAATTTTGCAAAAACAGGTCGTGTAAAGCTGGGAGATGTCTCATTTTAATTAGAAATTTGCGTGCTACAATAATGCCTGGTTAAAAAAGGGTTTGGTTATCTTTTAGAGCTTCTGAAAATCTGGTTTACAACTACAGTTTCATCTACAAAGGTAAATTTTGTACACAGAGATTCAAAAGTTATTTGGAATTTATAAAACGAAAAAAAAAAACGAAACACTTTAGCAGTACTGACTGACAAGTCATCGATACGAGATACGAGATTCATCCGTAATATTGAATGGTAGCCAAGGATACAATATAGAACAGAACAAAGTTCACATGATTGGTCGAAGGAGTTTAGCATATGGAAGAAGAAAAAGAAGACGAATATGCTAGAATTCTATTGTTAGAAAGACTTCGTGTTAAAAGATCAGTTTCGAAGTATCTGATGAATAATGTTGACTATCTATATGACTCATATGAAAGAATGAGTTTGAATCAAAGATAAGGAGCAGATGTGTCCACAGGGCGGGATAGTTCTGTTCTGTCGTGCTGCCCTGTTCCGTCCCAATACAGGACAGAACGGAAATTTTTTTGTTAGCTCCTTTCTTTAAGTTAGGAGGGCAGGGCACAGCAACAGGACAGGACAGGAAAAGTTTTTTGTGTCCTGCAAATTTCACGTGCGAATCCTAAGAATCCTAGAATCCTAGAACCCTAGACTCCTAAGAATCCTAGAATCCTGTCGGGGCGCTTCAATTTGAACTACTGAACTACTGAAAATTTGAGTTTGCGGCAAAGGGAAATTCTTCATAAGGTCGAAAATACCGCGTTTTGAAATGTTCTAGAGCGCGGTTCAGATGAAACATTTAACGCGTCTTTTTTTCAGAGCGTTCGTTTCATTTTTCGTTCACTTCGCTTTGCCAATACCTGTGTATGCGTTTCATTCGGCCCCGAAGACCCCTCCCTACAAAAACTCAATAATGAGCTAAGTATATTATTAGATAACTTAAGATGCCTGCCGTCAGAATGTACCATGTTCCGTGATCTGAAATGGTGTTAAACAATTAAATAGATGACAGAGACGTGGAAGATCGTTTAAGAGTCTGACGAGGGAACCTCCTGAGGTGTTAAAAACCTTTTCAAATGGGACTATTTTTAAAATGTAGGCCCTCATGGGCTATGAAGAATCCCAACTTGGTTCGTGCGCAATCAGCTTTATTGCTGAGATATTGAATTTTTACTCGAATTTTCCTCAATGGACCTGGATTTCAAGCAAAATCGAAGTTTTGAATTTCATGTTGAAACTTATCACATATTGTAGCCCAAACCATTTGTAGTCCGATGGAAAAAGGCCAAGTTGGAATCCTCTTTCCACTGCGGTGAAAGAACTTT